AAAATGGTGTTTTATTGGAAGGTGGAAAAATATTTACAGTGCATGAGGAAACAAAAATAAATAAAAACTGTACAAAAAGAAAACAAAACAGCAACAATGTGCTAATTTGGCTAAACCAAATGGCCCAAGGGTGCAACACTGCTCAATCCACAATCAGAAAAATAACTGACTTCTTTTCAGCCAGCAAGCCTATTTATAGGCTGAAGTAGGGCTGGGCGATATAGCTAAAAAATGTATCAACGATATAATGTTTCATATCGTTCGGTATCGATAATTATTGACATTTTTATAACCCTTTTTAAAACAAAGAGCAATAGAATTAAAAAAAAAAAATGTAACCACTGTATTTTTAGTTTACCCAATTTATTAAGACAACAAATATTTTTTTGTTTTGTATTAAGTCAAACACAAAATAAAATTTAAACAAATATCTCCTTTCTTATGTTTTATATGCAGATTAAATAAGTCTTAAGGAAACATTTGTCTTGTCTCCCGAGGCCACAGGAGGGTGCAATGAAATAACAACGGTCTATAAAAAACTTGCATAACGTCTAAATTAACATATATAAATCAAATATAATTTCGTAAATTGCATAAACAATTATGAACAAGACAGCATCATGCATTGCTTAATACAAAGAGCGCCATTCACACAGATTGCATTTAAAAACATAAGAGACGCAGTGAAATGGAATAAACCTTCACAAATTTGCAATGTTTCCTAAAAGTTTAAACTTTTTTTTTTTACTTTGCATGGCTACATCTCTTGTGTGAGACGCGAGTGCAACAGTCACATTTTTCTATCTAAAAAATGCGCTGAATATGCGTTCTGTGTGAATGGCTTGGTTTCGGTTTTAACCTAATTATTAAGACCTTCTCCGCATTGAGCTACTATATTTCTCTAATATTTTGAATGCATAACGCAGCAGCACGCATCTCGTGGGCTAGACTAACAAAACATTAAAATGCGACAACGTCACTTACATCATTATAACCGCATCTCGTGCGCCACTGACAAGGCTCCCGGACGCACACATAACATTCGATTGCACCGTTTTTGCATTCAAATAAAAACATTTTTATTTTAAATTTGACTAATATTCATCCTTTATTCACAATCTCCTCATCACAGGCAGGCACAGCACTCATTTCAGCATGTGTTCGTGGGCTGTCTGCGTCACTCATAGCACGTGCCTATATCGTGCGCTATATTGAACATTTTTTTCTATCGTTACCGATGAAGGTGTACCGTCGATAAATACCGATACCGTTTTATCGCCCAGGCCTAGGCTGAAGCCCTTCCTACAGGGCATACCAACTGGGGAAAAAAAATTAAAAGTTTGTAACAATCAAATTAAATAATATAAACACCCAACACAACCAGACTTAAACATTCCAAACAAGTAAAACAACAACCATTAACAGAAGAGAGTTTAACAACAAATTAAATGGCAAAACAGCCAAAAATGGCAACAGCCATATCACCCTGTAGCCCAAGACTGGTTGCCCACTGAAGCTAAGTAGGGTTTAGTCTGGTCAGTACCTGGATGGGAGACCTCCTGGGAAAACTAGGTTGCTGCTGGAAGAGGTGTTAGTGAGACCAGCAGGGGGTCTGTGTGGGTATTAATGCCCCAGTATAGCGATGGGGACACTATTAGCGGTCGACGATATATCGGCCGATATTTGGCATTTTTCAAATATCGGCATCAGCTGATAAGTTTTTCTGTTTGGCCGATTTGTGAAAAATGCTTTGTCTTCTAAAGTATACGTATGTTTATTTTACACAATTATTTTTAATCCATTTTCAAATAATTTCAAAATTCTTAAATATAAATTAAAATAAATAAAATTATATCGGCTTCCTTTTTTTTAAAAGTTTTAAATAGGAAAAATATAGAAACTCTTTGGTCATTTTTGAGTGAGATGCTAACGGTCTAATCAGATTCAATTATCTATGCTAAGCTTCAGCTAAAAGTGCTACTGCCAGACCCGGAGATCGGCTGAATGGATTCGAAAACGGTAAAACTCAACTGTTTAACTCTAGGGGAGTTGTAAAATGAGCCTATTTTCAAAAATAGTGGAGTGTTCCTTTAAGCACCACCAGTCCTAAGTTCAGTTAAAATGACAAATATGCATTCATACATGGTTACCAAGTTTTAATTCTAATCACTAATCACATTTTTTTTAGTTCTATCATTAAATAGTGCTTAATTATCATAATATACTGCATGATTGACTGATGTTAAGAGTGTACATTCAGATATTTAAGAAGCTGAGCCATTTTACAAAGATTATTATTGTTATTATATGATCATTATTATTGTTATTACTACTGTTGTTCTTGTTATTAGCATTATTTTTATTTGGTAATATAATTATTAATTGATAGCAATTACTATTAATAATAATCAATTATTAATAATAAACAAAAATATTGTTAATTATAGTTTTTATTGTTAGTATTAATACTACTACTATTACTACTACTACTACTACTAATAATAATAATAATATTTGTTTATTTATTATTTATTAATATTTATTATTATTATTGTTGTTCTTGTTATTATCATTAATTATTTCATTTGGTAATATACTTATTAAAGGCACACACGGCTCGAAAGCAGCGGAGCTTTTATTACGCCACAGTCGACCACTTTATTTCCATGTTTTCTACAAAACAAAACCGGAAATCGAGGGGTTATGACGTCACTGGCAGGTGACACAATGACACTATGGACACGGTCCCTGTCACTAGTTAAATTTGTTTTTTCTCTGGATTTAAACATTCTTCGAATATAAGTACAAAAGTCAGCAAAATATATAACACTGTTCTAGTGGTTTTTGGATATTTTAATAAAAAAATCTTACATATTGTGCCTTTAATTAATAGCAATTACTATTAATAATAATAAATAATAATATTGTTAATTATAGTTATTATTGTATTAATAATATTAGTATTAGTATTAATAATATTAGGAATTACAAATACTGTAGTTATTGTCTATCTTTTTAAAGTTATTATTAGTATTAACAATAATAATATTTTAAGTATTAAATATTAAAACATAATAATAAATGTTATTATTGTAATGTTGTAATTAATAATTTTTATTTGTTAATATTACAATTACTTGATATTAACAACATATGATAACAGTAATATAATTATTAATATATAATAGTAGTAACAATAATAATCAGAATTATTGTATTGTTATTAATTATTCTTTATTTTCTATTATTATTAATTATAACTGTTATAATTCCTACTAATTCAAAATATGATATAAATACTAATATTACAAATATACAAATAATTTTTGTTAATAATAATAATAATATTTAATTAATAATAATATAATTGCTTGATTTATTGATTTATTAAAATTTTATCATTTTATATAATAATTTACCTACTACTACTACTAATATATTTACTTCAATTTAAGAATATAAAATAACAATAATATTGTCTAAATGAACAACATTTGTAAGGTTTGAATCATCCGTTTAGCTATGACTCATTCAAGTGGGAAAACTGGTGTCTGGTGTATTGCTGTGGAAGAATGTAATACCAAGTATACTAATAACCGTGAAGTTGGTATTTTCCTAGTCTGTCTGCATAAACTGATGTAAAATATATATTTTTTAATTAATGTCAAAGCACCATTAAAGGTTTTCACATTGTTAGCGCTGAAATTCTGTGAATGCATTGAGATGTTTTTCCACCAAGGAGTGGGTGGACAGGATGTAGCACTGACGCTATAGCATAAACCACAATCTGTTATTCTTTCTAAAACCGAGACCCTTATTTCAGCATTTTCAAAATCATTGACCTTTGCACACATATATCTCATCCACCTCCTTTCCCTGTGCCATATTGCTACAATAAATCGCTACTGTGTACTATAAATATACAGAGAGGACTTCCCACAGTCTCTGTAAACAAAACACCCGTTCGTTCACATGACCTCTGATGACACCTGATCACAAGACAACGTGAAATGATCAGGCATAGCAACGATTCCTGAATGAATACACATCGTTTCATAAGTATGTGTGACGCATACATTCTTAAAGCTGTTTGTCGGATATTTTGATAAAGAAAGTAACATAAGAAGATAGTTTCAAAATTTTTTTGTACACACAATGAAATTCAATGGGGTCCATAAACAACACTGTTTGGACCCCATTGACTTTCATTGTATAGACACAAAATGTCAGAGTTTACGAGACTAAATGATAATCAAATTTTCATTTTTGGGTGAACTATCCTTTTAAAGATTTTCTATGCCATCTTTTTTTAACAAAAAAGCCGCTGAGTCAGTCATTTGCACAACAAAGCAGATGTTTAGGAAAAATCATTACGGAGTGCCAAGGGCTTCACCAAGTCGACTAAAGTTGCAGACCAAGCCAGGTGATAAAGTACATATCATATATCACGTCAAGTTCAGGGATGTTTTTGCTTGCGCCTTATCGGTTCATGAAGATATGAAGGGACTTGTTGTGACATCCTGTATCAAAGTACCAAACACAATACAGTCTTTTATCATCAAATAACTAAGAAAACCACTGTCCCAACTTGCAAAAGGGTTTCCCCTGTGGAAATGGCCAACATAATACAATGGCAACATGCTTTTCTTAAAATAAACATTGAATGGTGTTTAAAAAGCCATTTTACTTCTGATGCACTGATGCATGAATGAAACGGAATACAAATTTTATACATCAGGCATTGATAGGATAGTAAAAAACTGGACATACCAAAATATAAGCAACCAAAAACGAAAGTCATTTTAGATTTTGATGGAAGATTATGAAGACAAACATGTTTTTTCTGTGGAATAACACGCATGATAACACGTGTTAAGTAAAAAAAAAGGTCAGTTTTGGTTTCATTCTGACTTCTTTTAGGTTTCCTCTAGTTTTGGAAAACACTTCAAGCCAAACCTCCGCATCAGATATCATGATTAGACAGAAGTTTGGGTACTTACTGGTTTTCAGATTGCACGGGACAGGGCAAGCTGTAGGTCTGATGGGGGAAGCTCCAAGGATTGTTGGCAAACACGTAGCTCTGAAATAGAGGAAGTGAAATGTTTGGAGGCAAAGGTTCTGGGTGTTAGGTAGAGATGTACCGCTATTAAAATTCTGGCTGATGTGATAAGCTAAAAATAGAAAAAAAAAAGACAGAAAAAAAGTAGATAAAACTATTATATATGTCCGATAACCAATAAATGGCTGTTATGAAAATGTAATATTAAATGCATTATATGCATTTATGCATTTAATGCATTGTATGCATTAAATATATTTATAAATAGTTTTTTTTTGGCACATAATATTAAAACAAAGGAAATTGACTACAAAAACTACAAATAACAAATAAAAATAACAATCACTTTCAAGACATTGAAAATAAAATAGAAACAAAAGAAATAAAATGTAAATATTTATATAAACATTTATAATATAAATCTAAATATTTTAATACAAAAATTAAAAGAATCATATATATATATATGTATATATATATATATATATACACACACTTACACACACAAAAACGTTTTTTTTAAACTAGTAATTAAAAACTATTAATCACAAAGTAAAAACTAAACTAAGTGGGAATGACACATTGAAAATAAAATAGGAACTAAAACAAAAATAAAATTTATAAACATTACAACTTTGAGCGGAGCTGAGTATAGCATACATAAAAATAGCGAGTCATTCTGTCTATATCCAAAATTTGTGTCTACAGGAAACCCTCTTCATTTGCACAAGTGCTATTTACACTTGTGATGACATCACTGTACTCCAAAACTGCCCAAATATTTACCCTACACTTCCTTTTTCCATTTTAAACCATCTTATTCTTTGAATTTTATTGAACACTGTCACAATAGAAGATACACGATAACAGTATTTGCACAAAACGGTGAGAAAAAGCTGCATGGCTTATCAGGAATTGCGTCTACCAACTGTTAAAATGACTCTGTGACCACAAAGACGTCATTCTGTCACCCACACACACCAAAGTCTTGAGGTTTTGCCAGATATCAGAGTGAATGACCAGAGTTTTTGAAAAAGGAAACCAGTAACGAACATTATGACTACATTATGACAAATAAAAGAGTGTTCACTAGGTACAATAGCTTAGCATTGTGTCTTGTCACAGCAAATGTGCTTTTATACCAAATATGCTTATATCCCTGTGATAACAAATGTAACTCTATACCAAAGGCATTGTGGTTAACAATATAGGCTAGCAACTGAAAGGTTGTAGGTTCAAACGTTTTTTAATTGGTGTGACCAAAAACGTTCCACTTATAGATGCTAAGACATGATGCTAAATGAGAGGTAAATTTGAGATAGTTACCATAGGGGGTGCCAGGATAAACCCCCCGGCATCCTTCTGATGTCCGTCTAAATGCGAAAAGCTGTGCCCGTCCATGGCAGGCGGAATGGAGAGCGATGGCATCAGACCGCAGTCTTGTACACGACGGACGAAGCCCACACTGTGTAAACCTGAGCGATCCGGTCAATGTCTTCTCACCATGACCTGAGTACACAAACACAAGAGACACAGGACATTCATAACGGTGGAAAAACCAGTGAGCGTGCATGAAGAAGCAGCTAAGCTGTCAGAGTTAAAACGTCACATTCATCAGTGAGAAATACCCTCGAATGGGGAAAAAATCTGTAAACTCAAATGACACAAAATGTCATCTGGAACAACATGAGGGTGAATATACATGGCAAAATTGTTATTTTTAGATGAAATACACCAAAAAATAATCCAATCCTGCTCTCCAGACACTCTGAATAGATCTATTATCATCAACTAGAGGAGTGTAAAGTTTCACACAAAATCCTATGAAGGCTTTTATTGACTATGCCACCTGAGACTTGTGTGACGGCTCAAAAGGATAATAACTGAATAGAGTTCCTTGTGAGGATACAAAATTGAGACATTTTGAGCCACAGAGCAGTTCAAATTAAGAGAACAAACACCTTGGTATCACGTGAAGGGACAACGATTATTAAGCAAGGGACATTCTCTGAAGCGTGAAGCACAAAACAACTTGTGTTTCTCGTTAGGAAGTTGATAATATGCCAGAGAACAGTTAAAAATACCTTATATATGAAATACATTCATTCACAAGGTGAAGCCCTGTTCATAGTGGATAAATATTTTCATTTGATTTAAGTGGCTGGATTTCATGCACAAAAAAAATGTGCCATATAACGGTAAATGTGAACACAATGACAGAAAAGGTCACAGAAATGTTTAATATTAATGGTTAATATTAATTATGCCTACCTGCGCAGTCTTTATGATGTCAGTTGAAAAGAAAGGTCTAGGATTATGAATGAATTTTTTTTTTCTCTACAATAGCATGTACTGAAAAAAAGACCAGGGATTTAAGCAAGTAAACTAGATTATTTTAATTTCATGTTGTCTTTAAAAAAAACAAAACACTTAATCTCTCATCCATATTTCTTACGCCATCGAATGCCTGGGCAGTCAATGCATCTCAGTAAGAGGAGGTGTCCATCTTTCTAACCCCCTGCCACAAAGGACAATCAATACTGATTACTATTGAGTTCCCAAATGTCCTCTTCCTGTAAAGCACAATTATCTTTACTGGAAGACAGGGAAAAAAAGATGAGAAAGCACCCAGGATAGAGATTTTCATTGGAATGAAGAGCACACTGGTTTTATTTCACATAACATCCAGATAATAGGAAAAAAACAAACAAACAAATGAAAGAACTACTGAAGGCAATAAAACTGGGAAGTTGAATTGAAACGAGAAGGAAGTATTAAAGGTACGCGACAAACTATTTATTTAACCTTTCTAAAAAGCATTAACAGAGAAGAATTTCTGCCTTGTGACTAGTAATGACGCAAACCTGATGTGTTGCATCTAAACGCATTGTATTTCAATAAATTCATTTGTTCTTTAGGAGGAAACTAAAAATAGGGCAAAAAAATCATAAGTGGTGGAGACGAAAAGGGGGAATTCCTTCAAGAATGATGTAAATCCTTCGGTTTGGCCTCCAAAACCATCTAAACGCATCGTATTTCAATAAATGGATTCGTTGTTTAGGAGGAAACACTAAAAACAGGACAAAAATGTCATCAGAGGCGGAGACAAAATTGGGGGAATTCATTTAAGAAGGTAGAAAATCCTTCTGTTTGACCTTCAAAACGCATTATATTTCAATAAATATATTCGTTAATATGATTTAAAAAAAAAAAATTTTTTTTTGTGTGTGACAAGAAGGGTAAACGCATCGTATTTCAATAAATGGATTCGTTGTTTAGGAGGAAACACTAAAAACAGGACAAAAATGTCATCAGAGGCGGAGACAAAATTGGGGGAATTCATTTAAGAAGGTAGAAAATCCTTCGGTTTGACCTTCAAAACGCATTATATTTCAATAAATATATTCGTTAATATGATTTTAAAAAAAAAATTTTTTTTTTGTGTGTGACAAGAAGGGGGAATTTCTTTAAGAAGGAAGAAAGCTATTTGATTTGACCTTGATTTTAACTGATTGACTAAACACTAAAAATAGGACGAAAAAGTCATCTTTGGGGGAGACGAAAAGATCGACAAAAAGCTTTGGTTTGGCCTGCAAAACCATCTAAACGTGTCATATTTTAATAAATGGATTTGTTATTTAGGACTAAACATGAAAAATAAAACGAAAAAGTCATCAGGCACGGGAAGAAAGAAGAAGGAAGAAAGTTCTTCGATCTGGTCTCCAAAACCACTTAAAGACATTGTATTTCAATAAACTGATTTGTTATTTAGCAGTAAACACAAAAAATAGGAAGGAAATAGTCATCACTGGACGAGAAGGGGGAATTCCTTCAAGGAGGAAGAAAATCCTTTTGGCCTCCAAAACCAACCGAGCTAAACGAACTAAAGTTTCAGATCAGGACAAAAAGTGCCCGTCTGATAATCACATCAGAGGCTTGCAGATGGTGTGAATTACAAAAGCTAAGGAGATTATTTTGTGACCTCAGCCTGTGAGATTGTTGCCACAGCAGGGCGGCCTGCGGCGCGAGACCCTGACAGATGCCTCACGCGGTTCCTCTAATCTTCTCTGATCTCTCGCACCGCACTTCTGTTGTCCGCTAGAGGCTACTGAGATGTCTTTTCATGGAGTGGGAAGAGAAGGAAACATACATGATGTGAGGGGGAAAAAAGTCCTCAGGCTTGCGGCGTGGTATGGATCACCATCAGGGGTTTCCCATGTTCTCCTCAAGAGTTACTTAAGGACACCGCTCACATTCTGACGTGTCACGGTGAGCGGGAGCGCATGGAAGTCATCCAGGAACGTGGAAATGCTGGAAATCCACTCTGCCACTCTTCCTCATGAGCTTTCATGAGGGAAAAGCTGCAGATTTCATCAGCTTGGGGCTCCTGATGTTCTTGGAGCAGTGTAGGGATATGCCGGTATCAAATTTTCATGTTGCGAATTGCTAATGCTTTTCTCACGGTATACGGTATTATCACGATATTGAAATTTAGTTTAAAAAGTGCTGTCATAATACAGTATAACAGGTTTATTAACTTTTTTCTTATAACAAAAATAACTGAACATTTAAATGCAATAAAGCAATACAGAAAAATGTATAAAGTTATAAGTTTTACACAGATTAAAGTGCAAAAGAACTATAAAGACCAATAGGTATCACTTTACAATAAGACCTCATTAGTTAACCTTAGTTAATGCATTAACAATGGCTGTTTAAATAATTTAAACACGATTCAGACACAGAAAGTAGTGCAGCTGCTTTGTTTACAGGATTTCCGGGGTAACTGCTGCATTTAAATGAATTATTATTATTATTATTATTTCTGCAGTTTAGTGCCATCTGCTGTCAGAGAGTGAAAGTGCGCTTTCATCCAGACGTCTCTCACATGTTTCCGCCATGTGCTTCTCATCCGTGAGTGCGCACGCGTCTTTCACGCAGCATACAGCGGTGTAGTGCATTTTGACCAGTTGATGGGAAAAGTATTCTTAAAATGCATTCTAAATTCTGAATAATTTGTAATATATAATTATTCACGGTATTTAGAAGTGCCCACAATAACAATATTGTGCATATTCATTACCGTGATATATCGCATTACCGAATACCAGCACAAGTCTAGAGCAGTGTGAGCGAAATTATCTGGAACTCATTTTGTAGGAATTCATGCGTATAATCAAGTAAAGAGGGATTGCTATTTAACCGATTTAGAGGAGTTTAACAAACATGCCGGTTTTCGTCAACTATCTTTGTTACTGTTTGCTTTATGTGGTCCGATGTTAAACTTGAGTTGTATCATTTTGTCCTCGTTTGCTCTTTGTCTATCTCAGTCTTTCATCTATGAGTGAAGGTCTTGTCGGGCGACTATGTTAGGAAGAGCCAAATGAGTGTGAGTTATCTGGCCGCAAAGACAGACTTCAACGGGTTTCACATGACTGGCTGGGAAAGCCGAGCTTGCGAACTCAGGGCAGACAATCCCAGGAGATAGAAGAAAATCATGCTGACACTTGTTTGGAAACAGTCAAAGCTAATGCAATTAGAGAAACAAACTAAGCATGCTAAGTGCGGCCAAGCGTATTTGCAATGGCAAAGCCAGACACATTGATTGAGAGATTAAAAATTCAAGAGAGGAAAAAGTTACTCTGGGTGCTGTCACATTCAAACGGCACAAGATTAATAAGGCAATTACGATAAAAAAAACATTAATCTTTCTATTTTATTTAGTTCAGCTCCCCTTGTCTAGGGTATTCCTATGTTCAGAATTATGGCATGGCCAATACTGATAAGCCAATAATAATTAATCAGTTATGGCCGATAACCAATTTATAGTCAATTTAAAATTTTATAATAAATGTACAGTATATACATTTATAAATATTAAAATCAATTTTATAGTATCTTGTCTAAAAAAATTAAAATATATACATTATTTTTTTAAAGTTTGCAGATATGTCACTGATATATACTACTGTTTAAAAGTTTGGGGACAGTGAGTTAAAAAAAAAAAAAGTAATTAATACTTTTAACTAAAAAAACACTTAATAAATTGACTAAAAGCCACAATAAAAAACATTTACATGAAAGATTATTCTATTTCAAATAAATTTACTTTTTATTTATCAAATTATCCTGAAAAAGCTGCTGTTTTCAACACTGAATATAATAATAAATGTTTCTTGAACACCAAAACATCATATTAGCATGATTTCTGAAGGATCATGTGACACTGAAGACTGGAGTAATGATGCTTTGCATCACGGGGATAAATTATATTTTAAAATATTTTAAAATAGAAATCAGTCATTTTAAATTGTAATAATATTTCACAATTAGGGCTGGGCGATATAGCTAAAAAATGTATCAATGATATAATGTTTCATATCATTCGGTATCGATAATTATTGAAATTTTTTGACATTTATTATCTGATACTTTTATTCAGATATTGTTGTGAATATTCACTGTTCTTTTTCTTTCCTAGATTCTACATCGAAAAAGGCTTTCATAAC